GTGAGGAGCAGGCTGGAGGGTGGGGGGCTGGCCAGGAGATGGGGTGAGGAGCAGGCTGGAGGGTGGGGGTCTGGCCAGGAGGTGGGGTGAGGAGCAGGCTGGAGGGTGGGGGTCTGGCCAGGAGGTAGGGTGAGGAGCAGGCTGGAGGGTGGGGGTCTGGCCAGGAGGTGGGGTGAGGAGCAGGCTGGAGGGTGGGGGTCTGGCCAGGAGGTGGGGTGAGGAGCAGGCTGGAGGGTGGGGGTCTGGCCAGGAGGTGGGGTGAGGAGCAGGCTGGAGGGTGGGGGTCTGGCCAGGAGGTGGGGTGAGGAGCAGGCTGGAGGGTGGGGGTCTGGCCAGGAGGTGGGGTGAGGAGCAGGCTGGAGGGTGGGGGTCTGGCCAGGAGGTGGGGTGAGGAGCAGGCTGGAGGGTGGGGGTCTGGCCAGGAGGTGGGGTGAGGAGCAGGCTGGAGGGTGGGGGTCTGGCCAGGAGGTGGGGTGAGGAGCAGGCTGGAGGGTGGGGGTCTGGCCAGGAGGTGGGGTGAGGAGCAGGCTGGAGGGTGGGGGTCTGGCCAGGAGGTGGGGTGAGGAGCAGGCTGGAGGGTGGGGGTCTGGCCAGGAGGTGGGGTGAGGAGCAGGCTGGAGGGTGGGGGTCTGGCCAGGAGGTGGGGTGAGGAGCAGGCTGGAGGGTGGGGGTCTGGCCAGGAGGTGGGGTGAGGAGCAGGCTGGAGGGTGGGGGTCTGGCCAGGAGGTGGGGTGAGGAGCAGGCTGGAGGGTGGGGGTCTGGCCAGGAGGTGGGGTGAGGAGCAGGCTGGAGGGTGGGGGTCTGGCCAGGAGGTGGGGTGAGGAGCAGGCTGGAGGGTGGGGGTCTGGCCAGGAGGTGGGGTGAGGAGCAGGCTGGAGGGTGGGGGTCTGGCCAGGAGGTGGGGTGAGGAGCAGGCTGGAGGGTGGGGGTCTGGCCAGGAGGTGGGGTGAGGAGCAGGCTGGAGGGTGGGGGTCTGGCCAGGAGGTGGGGTGAGGAGCAGGCTGGAGGGTGGGGGTCTGGCCAGGAGGTGGGGTGAGGAGCAGGCTGGAGGGTGGGGGTCTGGCCAGGAGGTGGGGTGAGGAGCAGGCTGGAGGGTGGGGGTCTGGCCAGGAGGTGGGGTGAGGAGCAGGCTGGAGGGTGGGGGTCTGGCCAGGAGGTGGGGTGAGGAGCAGGCTGGAGGGTGGGGGTCTGGCCAGGAGGTGGGGTGAGGAGCAGGCTGGAGGGTGGGGGTCTGGCCAGGAGGTGGGGTGAGGAGCAGGCTGGAGGGTGGGGGTCTGGCCAGGAGGTGGGGTGAGGAGCAGGCTGGAGGGTGGGGGTCTGGCCAGGAGGTGGGGTGAGGAGCAGGCTGGAGGGTGGGGGTCTGGCCAGGAGGTGGGGTGAGGAGCAGGCTGGAGGGTGGGGGTCTGGCCAGGAGGTGGGGTGAGGAGCAGGCTGGAGGGTGGGGGTCTGGCCAGGAGGTGGGGTGAGGAGCAGGCTGGAGGGTGGGGGTCTGGCCAGGAGGTGGGGTGAGGAGCAGGCTGGAGGGTGGGGGTCTGGCCAGGAGGTGGGGTGAGGAGCAGGCTGGAGGGTGGGGGTCTGGCCAGGAGGTGGGGTGAGGAGCAGGCTGGAGGGTGGGGGTCTGGCCAGGAGGTGGGGTGAGGAGCAGGCTGGAGGGTGGGGGTCTGGCCAGGAGGTGGGGTGAGGAGCAGGCTGGAGGGTGGGGGTCTGGCCAGGAGGTGGGGTGAGGAGCAGGCTGGAGGGTGGGGGTCTGGCCAGGAGGTGGGGTGAGGAGCAGGCTGGAGGGTGGGGGTCTGGCCAGGAGGTGGGGTGAGGAGCAGGCTGGAGGGTGGGGGTCTGGCCAGGAGGTGGGGTGAGGAGCAGGCTGGAGGGTGGGGGTCTGGCCAGGAGGTGGGGTGAGGAGCAGGCTGGAGGGTGGGGGTCTGGCCAGGAGGTGGGGTGAGGAGCAGGCTGGAGGGTGGGGGTCTGGCCAGGAGGTGGGGTGAGGAGCAGGCTGGAGGGTGGGGGTCTGGCCAGGAGGTGGGGTGAGGAGCAGGCTGGAGGGTGGGGGTCTGGCCAGGAGGTGGGGTGAGGAGCAGGCTGGAGGGTGGGGGTCTGGCCAGGAGGTGGGGTGAGGAGCAGGCTGGAGGGTGGGGTGTCTCGGCAGGAGGGGGCGCGTGAGGGGAATGGGAGTGCCCAAATAAATCTATTCATCTTTAGTCTGCCCCCTGAGACAAATGACTAGTGTTGCTCCAGGGGTATTTTTTCATTGGGATTGTTTCCTGAGAGACTTTCCTTCTTCCTAACTTTTGCCCATTGTACAGATACCTACCGATGGCTGGTTCAAGAATGATGTATCCTGCAGGTGTGGGCTTTCGTGGCCATGTTGTGTTGGCAGCTGGTTTTTTAGTGGCTGTCTTGGGGGTGATCGTGGTTGTGGCAAACCAGTGGGTGGCCGGTGCTGGAGGAACAGCAGTCTTGCCTGGGCTTTTGGGAGGGGTAGTTGTCGAGAGAGAGGTAGTCTTGCTGGTGGACCTTGTCATGTTGGCAGCGGGGGTGACGACAGACTTTCGGGTGGGTGTGGAGGTGATGAGAGATGGGGAGGTGGAGTTTGGATGGGGTGGCGGGGAAGTGACAGGCTTCTCAGGGGCGGTGATGAGGGTAGTGTTGCGGGTACTGCCAGGTGCAGGAGTGGTGGGATAGTGGATGGTGGCGGGTAGGATGGTGAGATTGTGGGTGGTAGCAGGCAGGGAGGTGACACTGTGGGTGGCAGTGGTATTGTGGGTGGTCAGAGTTGGGGTAATGATAGCAGTTGGGGAGGTGGTATTGTTGGAAGTAGTGGTATTATGGAGGGCAGGAAATGGGGTGATGATAGCAGGTGTGAAAGTGGTGTTGTAGGAGGTGCTGGTATTGTAGGTGATAGCGGGTGGGGAAGTGGTGTTGTGGATGGTGGTGGCAGTGGCATTGTAGGTGGTAATGTTGTGAGTGATGGTGACATTGTAGGTGGTGGCAGGTGGGAAGGTGGTGTTGTGTTGGGGCGTGATACTGTAAGTGGTACCAGGTGGGGAAGTGGTGTTGGGGGAAGTAGTGGTATTGTGGATGGTAGCAAGTGGGGTGATGATAGCAGGTGGTGAAGTGGTGTTGTAGATGGTTGTGGTATTGTAGGTTGTAGCGGGTGGGGAAGTGGTGTTGTGGATGGTGGTGGCAGTGGCAGTGGCATTGTAGGTGGTAATATCGTGAGTGATGGTGACATTGTAGGTGATAGCAGGTGCAAAGGTGGTATTGTGTTGGGGGGTGGTACTGTAAGTGGTACCAAGTGGGGAAGTAGTGTTGTGGGAAGCAGTGGTATTGTGGATGGTAGCAAGTGGGGTGATGATAGCAGGTGGTGAAGTGGTGTTGTAGATGGTTGTGGTATTGTAGGTTGTAGCGGGTGGGGAAGTGGTGTTGTGGATGGTGGTGGCAGTGGCAGTGGCATTGTAGGTGGTAATATCGTGAGTGATGGTGACATTGTAGGTGATAGCAGGTGCAAAGGTGGTATTGTGTTGGGGGGTGGTACTGTAAGTGGTACCAAGTGGGGAAGTAGTGTTGTGGGAAGCAGTGGTATTGTGGATGGTAGCAAGTGGGGTGATGATAGCAGGTGGTGAAGTGGTGTTGTAGGTGGTGGTGGTATTGGACGTGGTAGCAGGTGGGGAGGTGGTATTGTGGGTGGAGGTGGCATTGTAGGTGGTAATATCATGAGTGATGGTGACATTGTAGGTGGTAGCAGGTGGGGAGGTAGTGTTGTGGGTAGTAGTGGTATTGTGGATGGAAGCAAGGGGGGTGATGATGGCAGGTGGGGAAGTGGTGTTGTAGGTTGTGGTGGTATTGGATGTGGTAGCAGGTAGGGAAGTAGTGTTGTGATAGGAGGTGGTCTTGTGAATGGTAGCAAATGTGATGGCAGCAGGTACAGAGGTAGTGTCGTAGGCGGTGGTGACATTGTAGGTGGTAGTAGGTGGGGAAGTGGTGTTGTGGGTTGTAGTGGTATTGTGGATGGTAGCAAGCGGGGTGATCATGGCAGGTGGGGAGGTGGTGACATTGTAGGTGGTAGCAGGTGGGGAAGTGGTGTTGTGGCTGGAAGTGGTATTGTGGATGGTAGCAAGCGGGGTGATGATGGCAGGTGGGGAGGTGGTGACATTGTAGGTGGTAGCGGGTGGGGAAGGGGTGTTGTGGGTGGAAGTGACATAGATGGTAGCAGGTGGGGAAGTGGTGTTGAGGGTTGTAGTGGTACTGGGGATGGTAGCGAGCGGGGTGATGATGGCAGGTGAGGAGCTGGTATTGTAGGCGGAGGTGACATTGTAGGCAGTGGCAGGTTGGTTGGGGCTGGTGTCAGGGGTAGCGGAAGTCCCAATGCTAGCTGTTGCCGTTAAGACTGGCTCTGGCAAGCCCCCGTGCAGACCGATGCCCAAAACACGGTCCAGTTCCGACTGGTAGCGCCTCTGGATCCAGTTGGCCACTGCTGGGTGATTTTCGGCTCGTTTCAGATCAGGGAGGTTTACCCCAAGCAAGTTTTTCACATGCTGGACACTGAGGTTCTGCAAGGCACGGATGCAAACGGTTCACTCTCACAACCAGGCAGGGTTACCAGCGGCTAACTTTTCCGACAGGATTACTGATGAAATAATGACATGTAACAAGGTACTCAAGACACCGCACCCCACATCCCTCCCACGGAGCTCCGCTTGGGCAAGAGCCTTGGAGCGAACTCTTGCTAAACAGAATTGCGCAGCCTCCTTCCTGTTAAATGTCCTCCCATTTACATAGCTCGTCAGCTTCTCAGGGCAGTGAACATGCATCAACGGGGCTACCCCGTTCCCCTGTGGCTCCCTCCCTCCCCCGGCTGCTGGGTAGCATCGCATGGATGGCCATTCCACAAGAGGTCCCGGCAACTCCGAAACAGCTGGTACAGTCAGTAGCAATGGAATTGGGGTCTTCTACTAGGTGGTAACCTGTAGTTTAAGGTGCAGGCAACAGATTAGGCAACAGACCTGCAGTTCGCTGGGTTTTAAGGCCGTAAATGTGTCGATATCCATGGCAATAGTTGATCCCGCTAAGTCTTCCAGGTCCTTTCGTGGAGCTCCACCTAATAAAAATAGATGACGCTGTTCGTAAACATAGAGACGCCCTCGCTTTTTCCAAGAAGGGCGCAGGGTTGTTGCTGCATGGTTTTATAAATATTAATAGTGTGTCTAAAAAGCTTCCTCTAATCCGGGGGTGGGCAAGATACAGCCCGTGGACCGGATCCAGCGCACCAAACCGTTTCATCTGGCCACGGCCCGCCCTGCCACGCCCCCGCCCCCAGGCCAATCGAGACCCAGGGGCAGGGGAGTGCATGAAATCTCCTCCCCCCACCAGGGAACCGCCAGCTGTTCAAAATGGCTGGTGGTTCCCTCTAGGTGTTGTGCACCCCGGCTAGGTGGAGAGGTGGGGAGAGACCGTGCGTACCCCTTCTCTGGCCATGGGCACGCAGCACCAGAGGGAACCACCGCCGTGTGTCCCTGGTGGGGGGGAGAAGGGGAAAGAGATCTCCTGTGCTCCCCCGCCCCACAGGGGTGCACGCAAAATCTCCTTCCTCCTCCGCAGGCGGTGCTTAGAGGGAACCGCCCCTTCCGGTGGAGGCCCCACCCCTTCCGGGACAGGCCCACCCCCCCTCCATAAACGGTTGTAGGACAGTTCCGTATGGACTGCACTGGAATGGAAGAAGGGAAACGTTTACATACCTACCTAAATACGGACGAATTAAAGGGTAGTAAGCACTAGTTCCCCTTTGGCTAGCAAACGCATCGCGGGCTTTTGCATACAGCCGATCTTTCTTGCTTTGTGAACAAGAAGAAATGTCGACCTTCCCAGCAGTCCTAGGAGAAGGGAACATCGCACGTTACAATCCGTAGATCCTGCTCTGAATGACATTACACCAAGGCCCGATCCTGGGAATCTATGAACCCTCCCAAGATTTGTTCCTTGATCCTAAAAAAGGCAAGCCATGTGAACCTGTGAAAACGGGCAAATAAACGGAGAACGGCTGCAGGTCAGCGGCTCCCTTTGGCCACACGGCCAAGTATGAACTCAGTCCAGCAAAGTATCTGACCCATGATGTTCTGCAGCCCAAACCGGCAGGGCCTTGTATGCACCTATAGCAGGGTGCAAGCATGGATCTCACCCCAGGACTCTGTCCGGACAACTGGTTTCCAATCATCGTCCTCCCATTGGTTTTTGGCATTTTTCATTCCTGCCTCTAGTTCTAACCTCTCTAGCAGGCCTGTCGCTACTGGGGGCATCTGCCTCTCCCCCAACCAGTCTTCAAGGGGCCCCAAATTGTTGTCAGAAAGTCCAAATTATGTACAGTTCTCCAGTGTTACGCAGTGGCCCAGAAGCCAACTGGCGAGTCCTCATCCCTTACAGAAATTATAAATCCCAGCAAATACCAACACAGTATCCGCATTTTACTTTTTAAAGCTCTTAAAATCCAAAGTTTTGTCATGGTCCAACTAATTCTGGACTCAGAAGATTGTCTGTTTTGTTTTTAAAGAGCAACATCCAGGACCCCAAAGTACCCACATCCCCCTCCCGCTCTGTAGCAGGCAAATCTTGCATTTCTTACTAGCACGAGGTTAAGTGATTTGCCCAAGACCACATAGTAAGTTGGTGGCAGAATCAGATTCCCCCCCCCCCCTCCGCCTGAAGCCCAGTCTTATGTTCATTCCACTAGTGCCCAGCGGCAAGCTGATTCTCATGAACTCTCCAGCCCCGCTTTGCAGACCCAAGAGGTGTCCGAAATCAGGCGGGTTTTCAGGATCGCTCGCTACCCCAAACCCTGAACCAGTGGAGTTTGGTCCAACACTGCTCAGCCCTAATGTTGAGTCTAAAGATTCACTCAGGAAATACAAGCGCCGCTTCCATTTCTAACGGTGATTTACCCAATTGCCTCTGGGCTTATTTTATTAATCTGGTCATCCTCCAGACCGCAGAGATCTCTCCCGCCGATCTTCTGAAGTAAAGGTCCCGTTAAGGTGCCCCCCAGGTCCATGTATCTAGTGATCAGTTGCTTGGCCTGGAAAACAGAATTAAGGAAGGTGAATTTATGGAGGGACTCTCAATAGAACACACATGTGTAGAATAGTAACTGCTACAAACGCTGCGTCGGGAACAGAGAACCCGACTCCTTCCAGCCCGCGCGGCCAAAGGGAGAGGAGGAACGTAAATCCAGATCTCTGAATATTCTGGCCAATGTGCCTTGGCTCTGTACAAGCTGTAGAAGCTGTTCTCTCCTTCAAATACCTCTCCTCAGAACTCCCCTCGCCCACCAGGCCTGTGAAATCCAACCCTGTGTTGTAACCACCTTTCCAAATGTGAGCTCAGACATGGGCGGTGGGTGAAGGTAGGGCTGGAGGAGACAAGACCCGCCCACTAGCCACGCCCCTTCTGCTCAGTCTCCGCCCCCATGGAAGCCACGCACCCCCCAGCACCACGAGGGAGGGCGGTACATGGGCCCAGCCTCCCCGGTCCCGGAGCATGGGAGAGAGCGGGCGGTGGGGGTAGCAACACTCCACCCCGCTACGCACCTATAGCAGGCGTTCTGGGTGCAGAGTGTGGGCGGGGCCAGGCTGGCGGGTCAGGAAGGCAACGTCTCCCCCTGCCTATGCCACCCAGTGCCCCCGGGCTCAGAGTCCCTGCTGATCTCCAAGCACATTGCTCTGCTGCATCTGCCCAAAATGGGAGACTCGACCCTTTAAAATTCTCCTTGTGCAGAGGAAACCAACCAGCCCGGCTCCTGTGTCTATTGCCCCTCCATATCCCTGTCTAGGGTGCACCCTGGGGGCAGGAGGAGCCAGGGGGCAGTGAGCCTGCGCTGGGTCCATGCACCATGGGCCTCATGTCACATGGAGGCAGCCACCAGCTGGGATGCGGTAGAGCAGCCCGTACGCTGCCACTGTCTTTAAGAGAGTGAAACTAGCAAGAAAACCACGAGGCCGGAGCTGTCACCTCCGTCCGGCCTCCCTTCGATTTGCAACCCCTTCCGTCTGCTTAACACCACCCTCTTCCTTCTCCCCGGTCTCCTCTCTGCCGACGGGGCATCGCACGCGGTTGCCTCCCCCGCGACTGGCGTTTGTACCTCGGCGGCCTGCCAGCGTCCGCCTGACGGATCCAGCAAGGCGGACAGCGTGTCGCTGGAAGGCACTCCTCGTAGCGGCGGGATAACTGCCCGAGCAGCTGTAACTGGTCCTCTGGGATGCCAGCCGGGTAAATCTGGAAGGTGCAGGGTGACTGAGGGTCAGGGAATGTGCTGATCCGCTGGGTGTATGTGGAACATGGCTACAAAGAGCCAGGAGGCTTAAAGTGTAACTAGAAAACCTGGTTTTACCCCTCTCTCTACCACACAGCATCCTCTCGGCTTCACTACCCTCCTTGTTGTTGTTCCCCCTCCTCTTCGGTCTCCTTGTGAAAACTTCTGCTTGATTTCTGATGGCGAGCCCCTGTATTGAGCTGAAACGCTCGAGTCACGGGGCAGGCAACACCCCAAAATCAGGCACAGGAGCACCACAGCCGAATGCCAACATCTACCATCATGTAATGCCCACCTTTAAGGTGGGAGGGATAGCTCAGTGGTTTGAGCATTAGCTTGCTAAACCTAGGGTTGGGTGTTCAATCCTTGAGGGGGCCATTTAGGAATCTGAGGCAAATCTGTTGGGGTGGTACTTGGCCCCGCTATGAGGGTAGGGGACTGGACTCAATGACCTCCAAAGGTCCCTTCCATCCCTATAAGATAGGTGTAGCTCCATATACACACCTGGTTAGACCATTTGTGCCCATTCTCAGCACTGAGTCTGTCTCTGGCTTCTCTTGATTCAACCAGTCTACTACCTTGCTTCTCTCCATGAGACCTTCTCCAGCATGTATTATTCTCACTGTCCTCCTTGCTTCTCGCCTGTATTCTCCACCACACATTCCTACCAGCCCTGACCTCACCCTATCTTTCTGGGGATGGAGCCATGCTGCCAAGTTTGAGCTCTGACACGCTGCTCTTGAATTGTTTCTGCCTCTCTGGCATTTTGCACGATCACTCGGCTGGCGTGATAGCACTGAAGGGTGACAGGGGTAGTTTATGGCACCTGCCTCGCCTCCAGCGTTGTGTCTGATGTCACGTGACCTGTTTAGTCGTGCTGAGCACAGGCGGAATAAAGGCCCAGGCTCAAGATCAGTTAACCACAGAACCACGACTATTCATGAGGGGAAGAGGGTACAGAGGCAGCTCCCTTTATGCTTTTGGTGTGGCTATTTCCAGACAGTTTCCCTTTCTCCCAGGGGCAGGGCTCTGACCCTACCCCCAGACTGCCTGCCTGAGGAGAGCGACACCTCGTCAGGGCGGCTATGGATGTGCTAAGAAACCCGCAGCCAGCACGTTGACTGACACAGTACTTCAGGGGGCAGAAATGAGCTTCCCTACTCCACCTGCTCCATTAGGGACGCCAAATCCTGTGTAAATGGTGAACCGGTTTAACTGTAGGTTTCATCGGTTAACGGATCACTGTGACACGGGCAGCGGGAGGACGCTGGAGCAGCCCCCCACCTGCGGTGTGGTGGGCCTGGCTGGGTGCTGTGGGAGAGGGGATGCTCCAGCTGGGCTGGTCCCACCACACCACAGAGCTCGGCCAGGCCGCTCTGCCTGGCCCGGGCACTGGTTACCCGGTTACCCCAGTAAACATGCTGGTGAGGCAAAGCTCGCCAGTTAACTGGTTAACCCTTTACATCCCTGTGCCCAAATGCTTATGTACTTTGTCCTGGTCAGAAATCTTTCCCCACAACGCTTGTTCCACAGGCTGAGAATTGCCTACAAACAGCGCGCTCCCTGCCTGAAAAGGATGCGTTCACTTACACAAGAACGGCCAGACTGGGTCAGACCAACGGTCCATCCAGCCCAGTGTCCTGTCTGCCGACAGCGGCCAATGCCAGGTGCCTCAAAGGGAGTGAACACAACAGGGAATCTTCAAGCAAGCCCTCTCCCGTCACCCATTCCCAGCCTCTCACAGATGCTAGGGACACCATTCCGACCCATCCTGGCATAGCCATTGATGGACCTAACCTCCTTGAAATTACCTAGTTCTTTCTTGAGCCCTGTTAAAGCCCTGGTCTTCACAACCTCCTCTGGCAAGGAGTTCCACAGGTTGACTGTGCATTGCATGAAGAAAAACTTCCTTTTGTTTGTTTTAAACCAGCTCCCTGTTCATTTCATTTGGTGACCCCTAGTTCTTACGTTATGGGAAGAAGTAAATCACTTTTCTGTGTTTACTTTTTCCACACCAGCCACGATTTTATAGACCTCTATCCTATCCCCCATTAGTCTCCTCTTTTCTAAGCTGAAAAGCCCCAGTCTTTCTTCACAGGGGACCCGTTCCAAACCCCTGATCATTTTTGTTGCCCTTTTCTGAACCTTTTCCAGTGCCAAGACCTCCAGGAGCTCACTGGCCTGTTGTGACTCTATTTCATGATATTCTTCCTTACCTCGCTGAGTTTTCCCTTCATGACATCCAGGTATTCCTCTGGGAGAGGGTGCGCCAGCAACGGGACCAGGTTGGCTTTCAAAACCTCGTTACTCAAGCAGGCCTCAAACTGCCCCTTTGTGTCATAATGCGCGATGAAGAGCGGGTCTTGGATAGCACTGGCGGTGATCGGGTCAGACTTGCACTCTGTTGACAGAATTGGAAAACGGGGTAAATTCGCAGATTAATATATTCCCAGGCCACCACAGGGCCTGTTGCGATCATCGAGTCTGGCCTCCTGGATAAGCCAGGCCAGAGAATTTCCTCCAAACAATACCCAGCCCAGACCTGGTAGGAAAACAGCCAGTCTTGATTGAAAAATTGCTGGAGGTGAAGGATCCCCATGACGCGTGTGAAATTGTTTCAGTGGCTAATTACCATCAAACGGCGCTTTATTTGCAGGCCAAATTTGTCCAGCTTCCACTTCCCACCCTTGGATCGTGTCAAGATCTTTGACTGTTAAACGGAAGCACCCAGTATGAAATATTTGTTTCCCATGTAGACACTTAGGGTACGTCTAGACTGCAAGGGTATTTCGGGACGCTGGAAGTATCCCGACATAGCTACCCTGCGTCCAAGGAATGCGTCCGCTATTTTGAAATAATTTTCGAAATAACAGACGTGCTATTTCAGCATCCCTGTAAAACTCGTTCTACACGATCGTTCCATGAGGAATAAGGGATGTCTCAAAATAGTGCTTGATTTCGAAATTTGGTGCTGTGTAGTCTATTTCCATTTTAGAATGCAATCTAGACGTACCCTTCCAGACCAGGGCTGGGCAGTAAAATGGCGGCAATTCACCAGGATTAGCCCCTGGTGAGATGCCGCTGCTATATTTACCTGCTCCTCCACCGGTACTGGTGATCGCAGCTCCCATTGGCTGTGGATTGCTGTTCCCAGCCAATGGGAGCAGCGGGAGGTGGTGTGGACCGGGACATGTTTCCCGCAGCTCCCACTGGAAATTCCATAAAATTTTTCCCATAAGGGAGAGATTTTCCTCCACTTGTGCCCAAGAATGACCTTGGGATGGGTAGGCTGGAGTTAATGTAGGTCTGGGAGGTTAACTGTGCATCTTAGTGGTGGATCCAGGCTTGCTTGGAGATGCCACCCAGGTGTGGAGGGGCTGGGTGGTGGTTATAAGGGGAGGAAGTGTAGAGCGGAAGCAGAAAATCCTCAATCCATCTCTGGGATGAGCGAGACAGAGGCCCAGGTGGGAGAGGCCTGACATCCTCACCCCAATGAGAGAGGCAGCCAAGGGGCAGGAGAGACACAGAGGAGAGCAACTGGACCGAGCAGGAGGGAGCCCTGAGGGGCACTGAGCTGAGAAATGTCGGCCCAAAAGAGAGCGGAACTGGGTTTGGTTTAGACTTTTTTGTGTTGGGATTTGCTTGGGGAACTCTGGGTAAGGCCCTGAGAGTCCCAGCCCTGAAAGGAAGGGGACTCTACAGAGGTTGCATGGGGAGAGGGCTGAGAAAGGCTGGGCAGGAAGCAGCTCAGGAGAACCGAGGAGGACAGGCCTAAGCAGCCCTTGGCTGCTGGTTGTAGGGTCCCTCGGCCCAGCGTAGTGGGAAGGAGCAGAAAATGGCGGTGGGCTGCCCACAGAGAAGCCTGAGAGAAGGCTGAGAGGACTGCAGGGCCAGCAGCTGGGGCAGAGAACCTCTCGGAGAAGACGTTTGGATTATGAATTTATTGGGCCCCATTAGGAGAGGGTGGACTAAATCGGGACCTGGCTGAAGGGCCGAGTTACAGGACAAAAGACCACTGCAGCACCAGGGCAATCCCTGGCAGGCAGCGCCGGGCTGAGAGAGACCCACCGTGCCCCGTCTGGCCACAAGGAGACACCGCGGTGGTGAGCGAGCTCCTTCACAGACCTACTAGCACAGCGAGTTTGCAGCCCAGACAGCCTCTGGTGTTGGGAGCTGGGACAGGTATTTACTTTTTCTTGCTGTCGCTGCCCTTCTGGGTTCCAGGGGGACTCAGAGCAGCCTAAGTGTCATATGAAATTCTACTCTTAATGACATTTCTGGCCCCACTGAATACAAGTCCTGGAAATGCTGGGAGGGTCTCTCGTTCTCACCTTCCCTCAAAATTTCCTGCCCAGTTTTGCTGGCCCGAGGAGAACTGAGAGAACAGGGTTGGGGGGCTGAGGTCATGGAGAAGCTCTGGAAAATGCTCCTCCAAACCACTGCATGGCTGTGTCTAGACTGGCCAGTTTTTCCAGAAAATCAGCCGCTTTTCTGGAAAAACCTGCCAGCTGTCTACACTGGCCACCTGAATTTCTGCAAAAGCACTGACGATCTCATGTAAGATTGTCAGTGCTTTTGCGGAAATAATATGCTGCTCCCGCTCGGTCAGTCTCTTTTAACTATTTACTCTTTGAGGTGCTAATAGACTATTTGTTGGTTTTTAAGTTTTTCCTGTTACAGACTGGCTTGGCTGTCCCTTTGAACTTATCTACCCAATGTCCTCTTTTCCCCCCTCCAATTTTTTTCTCTCCTACTCTCCTCTCCCTTCTTCCCTTATTTAATTCATGGTTCTGGACTTCCAACACTCCAGTCATCTGAAGAAGTGGGCTGTGCCCACGAAAGCTCATGATCCCTGTTGCATAAAAAAAGCCTTCGCCTGAGCTTACTTGATTTTACACATGCATTTTCTGAAACTACACTAACTGTAAGGTCTAAGTTTTTAAACTGCAACTCATTGTAATCTTTGTCAAACTTTGCAACTTGCTGTAATCCTTGTAAAATGTTGCAACTTTGTCTTTATAAATTCAGAAACTCGCTGTAAGCTGCAACTTTGTAACCTTTGTAACTCTCAGCCTCTTTGCCTGTAACTTGCTCTAAATTGAATTCTCCCCTGAGTGAATGAAGAGAGGTGTGTGTGTGTGTGTGTGTGTGTGTGTGTGTGTGTTTTGTGTTTGTGTTTGAAGCTGCAAGGCTAAGGCTGGAGCACATGGTGATGAATCATTAGAGACTGCTGCTTTGCTGGATAAAGGGAAGTCTGGGCATGCTCCCTGCTGATGAGGTGGATGAGTCACAGGGACCATACAGACACAATATAAAGGAGAGGGAGAACATGAGAGTTTCTCTCTTTCTTCCCCTGCTCCTGTGAAATTCCTCTCTCCAGCCAGGCTGTGTCTAGACTGGCCAGTTTTTCCAGAAAATCAGCCGCTTTTCTGGAAAAACCTGCCAGCTGTCTACACTGGCCACTTGAATTTCTGCAAAAGCACTGACTTCCTACTGTAAGAAATCAGAGCTTTTTGTGGAAATATTATGCTGCTCCCGTTTGGGCAAAAGTCCCTTTTGCACAAAACTTTTGCGCCAAAGGGCCAGTGTAGACAGCTGAGATTTGTTTTGCGCAAAAAAGCCCCGATCATGAAAATGGCGATCGGGCCTTTTTTGCACAAAAGCGCGTCTAGATTGGCCATGGACGCTTTTCCGCAAAAAGTGTTTTTGCGGAAAAGCATCCTGCCAATCTAGACGCGCTTTTCCGAAAATGCTTTTAATGGAAAATCAGGCCAGTCTAGACGTAGCTCATGAGTTTCCGAACTAATCCAACCCCACGATCGCCCCATTGCTAATTTTAGCACCTCTCCACTTACGCTCAACGGCACGCTTCAATCTGGGAGATGACGGTGACGCGGCTCCAATGGATTCTAAGAGGAGCCTGGTTTTTTCCTTCTGAGTGGCACTTTGGCTTCGGTATCCAGCCACCACACTTCTGAAAAAGGCCTTCCTCACCCCCTGGGGACAAGGAAGAGGGAGAGTTCTGAAGTCACTGATAAGCTGAGGAAAACACCAGCCAGAGCCCAGACGCCTGCTGCCCTTAGTCACTAGAAGCGTAATCAATTGCCCACTGGAATCGGTGAGCGTCGATCCGGTGACTTCCCTGGATCAGACCCAAGCGGAGAGGAATGAGGGTCTGGCAAAGAGGCAAGGGCGTGTCCGAGATGCCAAGACACGCAGAGGAGAAAGCGCAGCGGCAGAACGGGGAGAGCGGTGAAGGGAGAGAAGAGGCTGGAGACAGAGGAATGGAGGGAGCAGGGGGAGAAAGACCCAGTGCGTGAGCGTCTCCAGCTCGCAGAAGGATCTCCCCATGTGGAACCAAGTCTAGACCAGCTGGGTTCTGAAATCCTGCTTCCCACGGGGTGAACTCAGCCAGGCCCGCCGGCGGGGGGGACAAAAGGAGCAATTGCCCCAGGGGCCGGTAAGTCAAAAGGGCCTAGCAGCCGCCGTTGCTATGGCAATGATGGCGGCGACTGGAGCCCCAGGAGCTACAAATCACGCGCCACGTGCGTCGAGTGGCTCTGAGGGCTGGAGGGGTTCAGCGCGTTGCGCTCCAGGTGGCATGGAGGGCTGGCTGTCCCGGCTCCGCCCCTTGCACCTGAGGCCCCGCCCCTTCCGGGAGCACAGAGCTACCCCTCCGCCCCACCTGGCCTGGGGCCTGGCAAGTCCGTCGCCCCTCCCGAACTCAGCACCTCTATCTCCCTGATAAGCTCCGGAGGTGGGTGCCTACCTCGTCGACTGAGCGCCACGTCGTCCGGTTCAGATACACAGGGAGCGGCCCAGCTTCCCAGGAGGCAGGAGCCCTGCCCCACCGGGGAAAAGGCAGAGTTTAGACAAGTCACAGACCGTGGTCACCAGCCCCCAAGAGCCCTCCGTCTCAGGGCCAGAGCAGCCAAAGGCAAAGCCCCTACCCGTAGTGGCTGTCCCCGCGGCTGAGGCGAGCGTTCAGCGCCGCTCGCTGGGCTCCGGCTAGATCTGGACAGAGCTTCAGGTTCTCCAGGATCTGCGGGTCGGAGTCTGTGATGGCAGCTGGCTCCATGTCACACACCAAGGCGCCAAGGCTGCTGAGCTGCTCCTGGCTGAGCGTGTTATTCACTCCTCCCTGGGGGAAAGGGTGACACAGCAGGGCTCAGAGCTCGCTTGTCCACAGGCAGCTCCCCAGAGCCGGGCGAGGGGGAGCCGTCAGCTCCACCAACCCGCCTGGCCGTATTTGGTCGCCTTCCTTCAGCCTTCGCTGGGCCGGGGGAATAGCTCGCACGTAAACCCTTCACAAAATGTGTGTGTCAGGCCAAAGGCCAGATCTGACCCCCCCCTCGACACACACAGAGCAGGACTGACTCTGCTACTCAACGAGAACGTCAGCACTCAGCGTTACAGTGGCAGGCTCTGGCCCCAAATATTTGCCGCTAATATTTGTAAGGAAAGGAAACCAACTGGACTTAGTTTATTCTGGGAGGCTGTTGTGCTTATAGAGCAGGGGTAGGCAATCATTTTTGAAGTGGGGGGGGGCACTTCACAAATTTCGGAAGTGGTCGCGGGCCGCCCCAGAAGAGGTGGGGCCTCAGGCAGAAGGGGGGGGCCAAGGGACTTCGTAGCTCTTCCACCCACAGTTCCTGATTGCCCTGAGGGTGGGGGAGCACATGAAGCATGCTTATTAAGTTTGCAGATGATACCAAAGTGGGAGGGGTTACAAGTGCTTTGGAGGACAGGGCCATAATTGAAAATGATCTGGACAAACTGGAGAAATGGGCTGAGGTAGATAGGATGAAGTTTAATAAGGACAAATGCAAAGTGCGGCACTTGGGAAGGAACAATCCATTTCACACACACAGAATGGGAAGCGGCTGTCTAGGAAGGAGTACGGCAGAAAGGGATCTAGGGGTCACAGTGGAACACAAGCTAAATACGAGTCAACAGTGTGACACTGTTGCCAAAAACGCAAACCTGATTCTGGGCTGCATTAACAGGAGTGTTGTGAGAAAGACGCAAAAGTCATTCTTCTGCTCTACTCTAAGCTGATTAGGCCTCAGTTGGCGTATTGTGTCCAGTTCTGGGCACCACATTTCAAGAAAGATGTGGAGAAATTGGAGGGGGTCCAGAGAAGAGCAATAAAAATGATGAACGGTCTAGAAAACATGAGCTAGGAGAGAAGGCTGAAGGAATTGGGCTTGTTTAGTTTGGAAAAAAGACTGAAAGGGGACATGAGAGCAGTTTTCAGGTATCTAAAAGGTTGTTACAAGAAGGAGGGGGAGATATTGTTCTTCTTGGCCTCTGAGGACAGGACAAGAAGCAAGGGGCTTAAACTGCAGCAAGGGAGGTTTAGGTTGGACATTAGGAAAAACTTCCTACCTGTCAGGGTGGTGAAACACGGGAATAAATTGCCCAGGGACATTGAAGAATCTCCATCACTGGAGATATTTCAGATTACAAAAGTGAAACGCACAGCAAGGGCCTGTGAAGTGAGGCGCATGCTGAGTGCTCCCTATTGACTCTGAGAGCCGTGCACGCCCTCTGCATCCAGTCAGTCACTTGAAAGGTAAACTGTCACTTACCAAGCACAATAGGGCCTTATTCAGGAGTGCCGTCCTTTGGGCTGATCCATTTGGCAGCAGGTTGAGATTCCCTTGGGAAGCCAGACTGTAAAACTCTTTGCAGGTGTGATTACGCACTTGGGTGAAACTGTAAGGAATGGAAACAGCTAAAACTGGGCAGAAACAAGCCTCAGAAATGACAAAAAATGTGGTTTGCCACATGTGTATCTTCTTCAGCCACTTGTCCCAAGGAGGCCCTTGGCATGTTGGGACAGGAACACCAACAGTTCTCCTGAGAAATGAGCTAATGAGGCTCTGAGTGGGATGGTCCAGAATCTAAACCCTCAGGACTCTCAGAAGAACCAGGCTCATCCACTTCTGCTCAACTTGTGGAACTCCTTGCCACAGGATGTTGTGAAGACTAGGACTTTAACAGGGTTCAAAAAAGAGCTCAGTAAATTAATGGAGGAAAGGGCCATCAATGGCTATTAGCCAGCTGGGGTAGGAATGGTGTCCTAGACCCTGTTTGTCAGAAGCTGGGAATGGGTGACAGAATGGATCATGTGATAATTCCCTGTTCTGTTCATTCCCTCTGGGGCACCTGGCACTGGCCGCTGTCAGCAGACAGGGTACTGGGCTAGATGGACCGTTGGTCTGACCCAGTGTGGCCGTTCTGAGGTTCTTACGCCCACACTCTGCACTCCCATGGACAGCTTTGAGCCTGGGGGTACTTGTAGTGACTTCAATGGGCCAACGTTTGTGCTTGATGGTAAGCACGTGCTTAATTACTGTGCTGAGTCGGGTCTGAAGTTCTCCATCTTGCTGTCCTTACTCCAAAAACGCTCCCTCTGAAACCAGGGTTTTAATTCTCACCAAGCATTTCCTGGAACTCCCGCAGGGGTGAAAATATTTCCTGGAGCTCCGCCCCGGATGGCTCCAGCTGGATTTAAGCCCTGTTCATGGGGATTTTTAACGAGGGAGGGCTGCAGGATTGGATGTGAGGGCCCAACTCCGCAAACCTTCCCTCCCACGAGTAACCCTATGTCCTTGAAAGGACCTAGCTGGATTTGAATCGGGGCTCAGGACCTACGGTTGTTTTCTCCCATGCGCAATGAGTCCTTACGCCACTGTGAGATACTCACTCAAAGAAAAGGAGCATGTCCGGTGGGTAGCTGGTGACGTTTGCTGTCAGGTTGTTTGCAGCTAGGATTTTAGCCAGGCAGGACAACTGACGGAAAGAAACAGGCCGATGACGGTCAATCTCGCCTGCTTCTCACACAGCATTTCAGCACGTTAACGAGTCAGCAAAAGATGAAAAATAACCCTGCCTACTCAACGGGGAGGTATTGGGAGGGCTTGTTTTTAAATGACGTGATTCGTCCCCCTACACGTTCCTCAGGCCGGTTGTGCTCTCCGCACTCTGCGTTTCTCCCCACGTTATTGTGGGCCTGGAAGGCCATAGAATCATCGGATCCCTGGACAAGGAGGGGCAGGCTCTGAGCTCGGAAGGGGGCGGGGCCTTAGGCAGGAGGGGCGGAGCTAGGGTAGCCTCCTCCCACCGGCTCCTCAGCACCAACCAGAGAGCGCCTCTGGCTCCCTGGCAACGATTTAAAGGGCTTGGAGCTCCGGCCACTGCTTCTAAAGCAGCTGGGTGCTCCAGGCCTTTTGGAATCGTTGGGCCCTGAGACAGTTGCCCCCCTCTCCCCCCCGGCAGGAGACCCTAAACTTAGCACATGACCCCCTTTTATGGCTGAGCTCTTCCAGGTCTGTCTTAGGGCTGGACGTCTCTCTAAACGGACGGGGCTTAGCCCCCCACTTGTGACTGATCGGCTGCCTCGCCGCCGCTGAGGTAAAAGGCCAACGAGTGTGTCACGGGAGGGAGATGAGGGGCGGCTGCATGGAGGTGCCTGCAGGAGACTCTGGATCAGGGAAGGGAGCTTAGGGTCCCTGCTGACGACAGCTGCTGTGTCAGGGGCAGGAGAGGGAGGGCAGAGGTGGCAGGGCTGGTGTCGAGCTGTGTTTGAACGCATCCCTCAGGAAGGGGAATGAAACAGTGACACGGCCGGGAGCTCTGCTGAGGGGAAACTGAGGCTGGGGGTTGTTTTTGGGCTTGGGAAAAGCCTGTTCCAGGATTCGTTTCTCCCGGAGTCAGGATGAAATCCAGGCCCTCTCATGGGATACCACGAAGGCGAGGCAGGGTGGGGGTTTGTGGGGGCCTTGTGCATTGCTACCCACTCTCATTCCCCGGAGTGTGCTGTGAGCCTGAGAGGCAGCAACGTGCGCTGCACGTGTTAATCACACGCTCTGCTGCCTCTCCACCCCAAACCAGCGTGGCTGCTAGGAACCTCCTACCTGCTGAGCGCTCAGCACTGCCTCCTGGGTTTTCGCTTGCTCCACCAGTGCCGAGAGCTTGTCAGGCTCCAGTCGGCTGGCTGCACTGCACTGGAAACCCTGCAGCACGGAGGCTGAAAGGCTAAATTCAGGGCGGAGGGTTAGTTCTTCCTCTGCTGCCTCTCCACCCCAAACCAGCGTGGCTGCTAGGAACCTCCTACCTGCTGAGCGCTCAGCACTGCCTCCTGGGTTTTCGCTTGCTCCACCAGTGCCGAGAGCTTGTCAGGCTCCAGTCGGCTGGCTGCACTGCACTGGAAACCCTGCAGCACGGAGGCTGAAAGGCTAAATTCAGGGCGGAGGGTTAGTTCTTCCTAAATTGGTGTGCCCCCTAGCTTGGTGCCCGGGGGCAACTTCCCCCCCCCCCCCCCCCCCTCCCC